GCTATTTGCTTATCCGAGAGATCCGGCACTGTACTCTGTGCTCATCCGCCGATCTCTTCAAACAGTATCGGTCTTAGTTTCGATTATCTCCCATTGCAAATAGAAAGGTGCCAATGAGTACCAACCAACACAATAAAATCACCCTTTCCTGGCAAACAATCTCTCACTTTCTTCATGAGGACTCTCATCTTTTTATTAAGTGAGTTATTTCACCGGTCATTGTGGTACGGGTCATTAAACCATGCAACGGCGTTATTCTATCCATTAAAAATTTCGCGCGATTACACCTATCGTATCTTTCAATATCTTTGCGTATGATAATTGATTATTGAATATCTTTGGAAAGCTTGTAATAGCAAAAGTTTATCCAAATCTTTTGATAATCTTTTTTTTCGTAACCAACTAAGTCTTGATGAATTAATTTCTATTTATTTTTGCCAAATCTAATATGAAAAAACCCTTCCTCGCCTTTAGTTTGCAGTTCTATGAGCAATATCCGTACCAAAGGTAAAGGTTTAGAAAAAGCGACAATTCACAATTTATTAGTGCCTTGAGCATTCAGGCACGGCCACACTACTTCATGCCAGCTGTAAAGAAGGAGATCCATGCAACACTTGTCGTTTTCTGAAACAGTTTGATGTTTGTGCTACAAAGAATGCTAGAGAACCCCATTTATCCTGTCATCATGGGTAAATTTTAGTGTTCATTTATCTTTTTTAGCATACTGCTCTACCAGGTAAAAGTTTCATTCAGAAAAGTGATGTATCATACAAGTACATATTTTGTTTGTGTGAATAATTTGCTAAAGCTTCAAAAGTGCACCCATGGAGGCAATTTGGCTGTTTTCAATTACACTAGCAGAGAATGCAGTCATGAACATGAAGATGCAAGGAGATACCGTCGAAGCGCTAGTGGTAGGACAAAGCGTCTTCGCTCTGTTTTGCTTGAACCCCCCAAATTTGGAATTGTTGAAGGTGCATCGCTCATTGGAGAAGTGTGTTCCTTCAACACAGACTGTCAACGAGGGATGTTCTGTGGCGGAGGAATATGTCAATGCTTGTCCAATTTTGTCTCAATTGAAAAACATTGTTGGCCTAGTAAGATCCAAGTACTTGAAAGTAATATATTTGCTCAATGAATGAGTTATTCGTTCCAGAAGTCAATCCGGGGGAACCTGGCTGTGTCGACGCAAGACAATGTGATGCAGTTTGGCCGGAAGCCACTTGCTCCATTTCGGGAATTTGCGAGTGCCCGGAAAATACAGTGCCAAGTAAAACAAGGTCCGTAGTAACAGCTTCATGAATATTTTGGTGGATTATATTCACGTAGCTCTCCTAGAGATGGAAGTAAATTGTTTTTGTTGAGATGATAGGATAACACCGTATCTTTAGTAAGCATTCGTTTGACTGCAGCTGTTCTAGGCATCGGACAAAATCTGCTTTTTTATAGGTGCAAATGAATATGGTCAAACAAATTATATAGAGT